ACACGAGGACCCAATACCACATACAATTGCTTTCACCTATACACCTTCACACATATATCTATACATGCACATGTTCACATACACATGCATACACGTATACATAACCAGATGCGTATACATAATCATATACAAATATTTAGACACATACATGTACATATACGTACATACAGCCACGCCCACATCCGCATAAACATATGCACACCGTCACATAGCTAGGTACAAACACCTATATATACATACATGTGTATCTACATATATACATCCACACATGCATATAAACACCCAAACACATACACATCAACACACCTACACATATATCTATATATTTGCACGTATACATAGACACATTCGTACACACATGGATGTACATATACACATACATAAACCTCTCCGCGCATGTCAGTCCACCTATTCATATCAATACACATCGATCCAATAAACATGTTCACAACCGTACACATGCAGACACACATATACATACATAACATGTATATATACACACACGTATATATATATGTGATCATATGGCCATACTCATACGTATACGTAAATCACATGTGTACAAAGCTGCCCGTATACTTACACATCCACAAACACATACATGTAATACACGGTGCATGCACAAACGCACATCAATACGTATACATGTACACATGCCTATATGACTATATTTATACACATATACAGACACTTGTATGAACACATACACATGTACATATATATATATATGTATATATATATATATATGTGTATATATACATGCATCCATATACAGGTACATACACACATATACCGTCGTGACCTTTGGTCGTACCCCGCCACCGTGCTTGGGTCGTGGGTCAGAGTCCTCAGGGTTGCTTTTTGGGGTCTTTTCGGAGCGGGTTCAGGGGGGTCCCAGTCTCGGGAGCTTTCGGGAGCCTCTTGGGATCCTTTTGGAGACCTCTTGGGGTCTTCTTTGGGGCCTTTTGATGCTTCTTGGGGGCCTCTCGGGAGCGCTTTGGGGCGCCTCTCGGGGCCGATGGTTCGACATGACCGTTCGGGTCCCCCATCTGGGCACCCTCTTGGGAACCTCAAGGGCCGTCTTGGAGGCCTGTTCGGCTCTCTTTGGCCATTTTGATTCCCTCTTGGAGGCCACTTGGGCCGTCTAAGGGGCGATTGGGGGGCCTCTTGGGCGGTTCTGGAGCGTTGGGGAGACGAAGCGGAGAAATCGCCAAAATCTGTCAAAAAGCAAAGGGGAATACATTTGGTGTGCCTCTTGGGGTCCTCGTGGGAGGCCTTTTGGAGGCCTCTTCTGGCGTTTGGGGGGCGCCTTGGGCCGTCTTGGGGCCCTCTTGGGGCCGAACAAGCACGCGACAGGACGCGGTATATCACAGGGGGTACGCGACGCGCCCGAAGGGATTCGGCAGTTTGGGGCCCAGGCCCCTCTCAGAATCTTTCAGGATTGAGGACTGAGGCTCAAGAGACTGGGCCAAGGGCCCGAGGAAATTCCAACTCGTGCCTCAAGGGCACGGTAGCGGATATTGTTTCGACTCTTCCCGAGGTCGCCCCGCTGGATTCGGCTCCTGGTCGTTGTCTCCGCGTGACCCAGATGGGTGTCCATGCACATGGATAGCAGTTTACAGAACAACGGGGTCGCCCCCGTTTTTGGCCAGAGCTGCATTTTTCGAAGTAGTTGCCTTGAGACGCCTAGCGCAAGCCTTGCCACACAATAACTCTTCCCGACGCTCGTCTGTTCGGTCGCCGAACTTTTCTTTCGTGTCAATTCCTTGCCCTCCCGCGGCTCCAGGCGCGGCGCCGCCGCGCGCCAGGCGGCGGCTGAGAGCAGCCCCTCCGCCCCGCGCCCCCCAAGATCCATGTCGGCACGCGTCCTGCACGAGGGGGGTCACCCCCGCCTATTGACGAGTGAGGACCGATGGGGAAGAGGAGGGGGGGAGGAGGAGGAGGAGGAGGAGGAGGAGGAGGAGGAGGAGGAGGAGGGAGGATCGTGTGTCGGAGAGGTTCGGGGCGTCTGGGGGGGGTCTCCGGGGGTCCCGCCCCGCCCCTTCGGCCTTCTGCCTCTCGCCCCGGCGCTGGCCGCGCGGAGGCCCATACCTCCGACGTCGCGATCTTCTGTTCAATTCAGGTGGGGAGAGGCTCAAGGTGTGATTTTCTGTGTAGTTGGTCCTGGTGCGATGCTTCGTTGAATCCAGGGGACCTGTTGCTTCATCCGAGTGAAGATCGAGGGTCCAGGCTCATTGGGATGTTTCTGCCTCTTCTTGTGGCCTCGCGGGGAGCCTCCAGAGGTCCCCAGAGGCTCCTTGGGACCCCGGGAGTTTTCTTCTGGATTTCGGTGTTCAGGCTCGTGTCGGTGTTCATCAGAGGACGATGCGTGGCGGAAGCCCAGCCCAGGCGAAGAGGTCGAGAATTTCGGAGGCCCATGGATTGAAACAATCGGGACGACAGAGGTCTGGGGGCGCACAATTGGCCCCCGCACACACGTGCGCAGGGGCTGCCAAAGAAAAGCTTCGGCGGCTGCTCCTCTTTCTCCTCGTCTTGTGCTTCCACTGATGTCCCGAGTGATGCTTCTTCTCCTGATTTCTCCTCCGTCGGCCTGCTCCCTTATCCGTCTTCGGCCTGCTCCTCTTTTTTCCCATCTCTCGTTGCTCCTGCTCCTCCTCCTCCTCCCCCTCGTCCTCCTCCTCCTCCTCCTCCTCCTCCTCCTCCTCTTCCTTCGACGTTCTGTGCGTTTCGCCGTGTTCGTTCTGGTAACGCACTCTTCCTCCTGTCCTCCTCCTCCTCCTCCTCCTTCTCCCCCTCCTCCTTTTTGTCTCCTCTTGTTATTCCTGGGCGCTATACGTGTCCTTGTCGTTCTCATTGTTCCTCTCATCCTCACCCCATCCTCGCCTCTTCATCCTCCTCTCCCTCCACATGGCGAGGCCATGGCCTCACCAGCTTTGCCCTTGCCCGCACGAGCGTTCCGACTCCTATGTCGCTTCCGCTTCTGATTTTGCTGTGGCTAAGTGAGGCCACGTGTTTCGCTTTGGAGCGTTGCCGGACGCTGGATCAGACTTAGCTCGAACGACGACGACGGGCTAACGACCACACGAGCGCGGCCGCCTCACGAGAGGTAGGAATGGCGACGCCGATGTGGAGCATAAATACCCTGTTGCTCGTCCTGCGGAGGGGGAGCGAGGGAGAGAAGGAGGGGGGAGGGATGTGAGAGGCAGTGGTGGGTGAGGGAGGGAGGACGGGTCGGCGACGCCCAGCGGAGCGTGGGGGGTGTTGGCGTTCTACGCTGGCTATCCTGCCTTCCACAGAGTTCTTTTGTCAAGGTTTCCGACCCCCTTGCAAAAAGCGCCCCGCTCTCCTGGAAGGCCGCCCTCCTTGCCCCGCGGTCCCCTTCCGCGCCGCCCAGCCCAGCGGGGGACGGAGCAGGGAGGGATAGGACGGGAAGGGAGGAGGACTTGGCATCCCTGGGACGTGTGCTCCTCCTCCTCCTCCTCCTCCTCCTCCTCCTCCTCCTCCTCCTCCTCCTCCTCCTCCCAACCATCGAGGAGCATCTTGACTCGTTTGGTAGGAAATACACGCACGACAACGACACGTGCACGGGGGAGCGACGTCTCAGCGACGGCGAGAAGAGAGGCCTCTTCTTTCCTGTGCGGGGCACGCGGAGCTCTCGACCCGGGCTCGTCTCGATTCCTCCGATTCGATTCTACTCGAATTCGATGGCTTCCGATTCCGATTCGATTCGACTTCGGATCCCGATGTGGACTCCGATTTCTCAGCGGAGGCCCACGGGCCTTCGGTGTTTGCCGAGTCGATCTCGCCCGACGTGGTTGCCGATCTCCGCCGACCCGATTGGTTTCGATCGCCGACCCGACTCGTGTCGATCCGATTCTGGGCTGTCCTGCCCCTTTCCCAGGGCCAGCCGCTCGTCCTGGATCGTGTCTGGTGCGTCCTGGGCCCTGGAGGTGTCCTCTGGGGGCCGAAGCTTTCGCGAGGTCGCGGGGAGTGCAGCACAGCCACGACGCCGGGTTTTTCGGCAGGGAGCGAGGGCGGAGGGGCGACGCGGGGTAGGAGACGGAGGGAGGAGGCGGAGGCGGAGGCAGGAGGGACCTCCCACACCTCCCCCATCGCCCCGCTCCCCCCCGACCCGTCCGAAGCGCCAGCCGCCCCCTCCCCGTCCTCGCCCGCAGCAGAACATGCCTTGAGTGCCCCCGCCACCCCCAGCCCCCAGCCTCCGGGCCTCCGCGGACCTGCCCATGAACCCATCGGGTAGCTTTCAGACAGGCGACGCAGGCTGCGCAGAGCCCCGAGGCTGCGCAAGCTGCCCGAGCGAGGCCGCCCGGGAGGCGCCCTCGATGTGCCACGTCGGAGGCCCGAGTCGAGGAGACCGCTCCAGCGGCGGAGGTCCCCGAATTCGGAGACCTCTTGCGCCAAAGGGTCCTCCTGGAGGGCCTCCCGGGGCTTCCCAAGCGTATGCGCCTTCGGAAGCCCCCTGGAGGCCTCCCCGCAGGCTCAAGAGGAGGGGCAGAGAGTTGCTCGGAGGGACAGAGCGACGCTTGAGCCTTGAGCCCTGTCTATCAGGGGCAACGTTACGGGAGGACAGGCTCAGGGGGGATGCATCGACCCGCAATCACCTGATTGCCCGCCCCGCCCAGGAGTGCGGAATTGCTGTCGGGGGCTTGTCGTCGACCTGTCGGTGATGTACAGTCGGCCCTGATGAGTAGGTCCACCCTGCCAGGTCGAGGGTATCCTTGTGTCATGTGCTTTATGACCCATGCCTTCTGCATTCCTGTCGCAACGTGGCCCTCGGAAGGGTCTTGTGTCCTCTTGCGTGTCCTCTCCAATCCGACTGTATCGCCGATTCCTGTTCGATGTTCCCCCCCTTCCCCCCCCCCTGAGTCAGCCCCCCCCCGGATCCTTGCCCGTCGCGGGAGGGCAGCGCGGCGCTCGAGCCCCGTCCCTGGGCCCTCTTGCTCCGAGAGCCGCCGCAGGGCTGGGCCTCGGGGCCGCCGCAGGTACGCGGTGCTGCTGAACACGGACCTGTGCCCGCTGCCCGGCTGGCTCGGGGTGCTCGTGAGGACTGCGGATGGGCGCGCCGCCGAGCCGAGGGGGACGGCGACCTGGGCTTCGAAGGGCGAGGGGAGCCTCCCCTCGTCCGTCGAGGCCCAGGTCGCTCCCCCCCCCCCCCCCCAGGGAGGGGAGCCTCCCCTCGTCCTTCGGGGCCCACGTCGCCGCCCCCCGCGGGGAGGACGAGGGAAGGCCTCCCTCAGGCAGGGGGCGGAGGACTCTTGGACGTTCCGGCTTCGTCGGGAGTCCATGGGGCTAGAAGAGGACGAGGAGGGGAGGAGGAGGAGGAGGAGGAGGAGGAGGAGGAGGAGGAGGAGGAGGAGGAGGAGGAGGAGGAGGAGGCGGGGGAGGGGGAGGGGGAGGGGGAGGGGAGGGGGAGCAGGAGGAGCAGGATGAGGAGCAGGAGGAGGAGGAGGATAGCGTGCGGGAACAGAGGGGGAGGGAGAGGGCCGTAATCGTGAGGAGAACTTGGGATAACCCCTGGAGCCATTCGGGAAACGCACCCAATGCGAGGCGCAACGACCCTGCCCTCGGAGCCGAAGCCCCGAACAAGATGGCCCCGCAATGTATCATTGGGACGCCTCCCTCCAGACGACTGGGGTGTACTACTCTGGCTGATGGCCATGCCACACCCTGGGCTGAGGAGGAATGAATGAATGAATGAGTGACTCGGCCAGACAAGCGACGATGGACTCGAGAGTGATATTTGGACTCGGAAGTGTTTCCCTCCGGCACCCGCCAAGAGCCAAGGAGGAGGAGAAGGAGGAGGAGGAGGAGGAGGAGGAGGAGGCTGAGGTCTCCCGAGTGTCTCTGCATACCCCACGAAGGTCCTCTGCACGTTTCCAGAGGCCCCCACGGCAGAGCTCTCTCGGATGTCTTTGAAGGAGGAGGAGGAGGAGGAGGAGGAGGTGTCGGGGGTGGAGAAGTGGGGGGATGACCAGGGTGGGTGGAGATCATGACCGGGGCCATGATATCCCACCCCAAACATTTCATGGCCGATCTGTCTTCTTCCAAGACGTTCCCTGGTCCCCCCTCCTCGTCTGCGCACGTGTGTCCAGTCATGGTCTGCGTCCCTCCCCCCTTGGACGCTCCCTTTTTGGACGCCCCCGAAGGGTGCGGAGGAGGGTCGTCGTGGAGCGTTGGCCGCAGTCCCCTGGGTGTTCAGGACCATCCAGACCTACCCTGGCGCCGGCATCGTGGGACCCATGATGGTGAATCCACAGGGCCCGGCTGCCTGCGTCGTGCACCAGCCAGGGGAGGCAGGGAGGGAGGGACGCAGGAGGAGTAGGAGGGGAGGAGGAGGCCACTCCCCCCAGGTTTCTCGGCCTGGCCCTGGCCATCGGCCCCGATGGGCGAACCGAGTAAAATTTACAAGCCGTCTCAGTGTGTCCCTCCTCCTTTTCACCCACCTCCTCCCTCCTCTCCGAATTCCCTCTGTTTCGCAGTCAGGTCTCTATGTGCACGCATTCGCTCTGCAACCGTCTCATTTTCTTTTTCCTGAAGAGGTGCCAATCGCGCTCTCGTCTGCCCACGTGTCCTTACGGATGTTGGGCTCGCTGGCTGGCTGGCTTGCCCCCTTTGGGGGATCTCGCGCTGCAGTTCTTTCGGCCAAGGCACTGTAGGGGGGGGGGGCCAATATCCAGGTGCTGCCGAGCGGCAAGCTCAAGCAGTTTAGAGTTTCCGCGCTTCCCTCTGAAGGCCGCTTGCCCAGGGGGCACCCGCTGGAGAATGCGTCGATGTGCAGTCGGGGTGGTTGGGCGCGGGACACCCTGGTGCTGGTGACCTCGGATGCGATCCGCACGCACGGGCTGAATCTGCAGGAGGGCCGCCTGTCGGCCCCTGTGCTGCGCTCCCTTCGCTCCCGGGGCCTGGAGCTGGCCCCAGAGCCGCGCCCGTGGGCCCGGGTCAAGGAGCCCATAGCGGCCCTGATTCTCACCTGCTCCCGGGTCGAGTCCAGTGTTCTAGACCCCTGGAGGCTGGAGGAGGCCACGGGAGAGCGTTGGAGTTTTGGCTGAGGTTTCCCCTGCGTTCCTGGCCCGCAGGGCCCGTCTTGCTTCCAGGCGCCCCTCGGACTCTGTAGGTCTCTCGAAGATTGGCCGAGGCCAAGCTTGGCGAGTGGACGTCTTTCCGAGGCCGCTGAATGAGTTTCTGCACTTCAAGTCGCTGCGGAAGACGTTGGGGGTGAGCTTGGTGGTAGGGACGATTTTTTGGGGCCTCCCGGACCATCTTCAGCATTGGCAGGCCGACAAATCGAGATCCGTACTCCTGAGCGGGGCAATGTTGTTGTTGTTGGTCTTGGGGCCTTCTTGGGAATCCTACGGGATCCCTTTTGGGGCGCGTTCTGGGCCTCTTGGGTTGTCTCAGGGTCGTATTGGGTATCTTGACGCGCTCCTGGGTTGTCTCGGGGCCCTCTAGGACCGTCCCAGAGGCTCCTTACGGCCATTTCGGTTCGTCTTGGACCCACCCCGCCTCAGGACACGCCACGCGACCAGCCCTCAACAGGTCTACGGAAAGCTCCAAGAGGCAGAGACACCCGGCAGCAGCGCCCGAATTGCAAGATTCTGGCCTCTGAACGAGCACTTCATTACAGTAGTCAATGCAGAGAACTCTGAGGGATCTGAGGACATTTCAACCCGGTCCTCGAGGCACGGTGGCGGATTCTCCTTGCAGATTGCATGCCCAGTTGTGCCACAGTGTTTCGTCCAAAGGGGTCAACCAGGTACGGGCTAGTCCCTCGGACCGTTCCTGTTGGGAGCGCTGGGGAAGCCTCTTGCAGGCTACGCGCGCCCAGTATTCACAATATCCAAATCCGACTCTGGTATTGACGTGTTTGGCAGGAAATGGACCTTTCTGTTTGCCATGGGTGCCCACCAACTTTTCACAATGATACACATTCTCCGTGCAGGTGTCCTGGGAGTGCCCGGGCAGGGTGATGAAGAAGTTGCGATCTGATTCGATATCCAGCAGTGGCGTGCGCTCAAAGCACGTCACACATCCAGCACTGAGTGTGCATTCGCACTGTAGCTGGCAGAGCAGTCCATTCGTCCAGAGCAGTTTTTGGCAATTGCGAATTGAGATGTGCAGGGGTTCTTGTGTTGGCTTTGATACCCGACTCAGCGAGGTCCAACCCGGTTTATATTTTGTCTACACGGGTTGCAGCGCCCGGTATTAGCGAATCCTGTCGGTTTGACAGTCATGCGTCTGCAAACACGCGTCGAAAGTCATCGCAGCTTCCTCCCTCATCCCTCACGTGCTGGATCGCGTGCGCGCGGGAACAGATGGGAAGGAGGGAAGGGAAGAGGAGGAGGAGGAGAAGGAGGAGGAGGGGGAGGGGAGGAGGAAGGAAGAGGAGGAAAATGATGGGGATTATCTTCATGGTCGTGATGGTGATGGAGAACATGATGGTGGTGGTGATGGTGATGGTGATGCAGTTGATGATGCGCATGGTGTCGGTTGTTGTGATGTTGTGATTATGATGATGATGTTGACGATGATGATGATGCTAAGGTTGATGCTGATGATGATGCTGATGATGTTGAGGATGATGCTGATGATGATGCTGATGATGATTCGAAGAAGGAGGATGATACGATACGATACGCACACCCTTAACGTCATGCTGTCTGATTGTTCTGTGAGTGCTATACTCACTGAGCTCCCAAAAACGCGCAGCAGTGGGCCCTGGCATACACAAGACTGACTGGAGGCGGATGACGCGGTGAACCTTCCCTTTGGAATTGAGTGCCTATGCCATGCTCTAAGCACCAGGGCCGCAGACGTGGCCCCGTCCGTGGGGCCGTCCTTGCCCCTGCAGCCACCGACGCAAAAGGTAGCCACAGGAGACTGGGGCGGGCGATATTATTCAGGGTTGACCGCTCTCTTAGCAATCTCAAGCATTCGACTGCTAGCAAGACTGGCAAACCTCTGAGACCCTGGGTAGATCCCTCGAGAGGCCAGATATTCAGTAACTATTTGCATGTCAGTTCTGGGAGTTGGGGGAGGAGGAGGAGGGCTCCGAGGCTCAAGAGGGGCCAGCGGGGGAGGAGAACAAACAGGCACAGAATGGCTCACGTGCCTATTTGAGGAAGTTGACGAGCTGGCCCCAGTCGATGTCGTCGGGGGTCGGGAGAGGGACGTAGGTAGGTATTCATCCAAATCAATGTATGCCACAGGCTCGGGAACTCCAGATTCAGGTCCAGAACGTAACCCAATCGTATTGATATTGAACGCTGTGTGCACATGTTGTCCTCCCCAAAGTATATAACAATCGTTTGTGTCGTCATCCTTCCTCCTCTCAGCAGGCAGGTCACCGTCACCGACCGATCACAGAATCTGGTTTGCGCCACGCTGCTGAGTGAAGGGCCCCCCCTCAGCAGGCAGGACACCGTCACCAACGGATCCCAGAATCTGGCTCACGCCACGCTGCTGAAAGTAGGGGGGGCCTTCAGGAGGGTCAGCGGGCCCCCTCTCAGCAGGCAGGTCACCGTCACCAACGGTTCCCAGAATCTGGCTCACGCCACGCTGCTGAGCGAAGAGGGGGCCGCTTACTTCAGCAGGGCCTCCAAGAAAGTCTGGATCTCGCGACCCAGGAGCGTTGTCCTGAACTTCGGGTCCCTGATCGCGAAAGTGATCCTGCGACGATCCTTCTGGTAGACCTTGTCCTGGCGGCAGAATAGAATGAGCTCGCACTTCTGCTCGACTCCGTAGCCGCCGTACTCCGACCATGCAGTTGTAATATTTGCGTGGTTCTGGGCTCCGAGACTGTCTCCGTACGTCATGAGTCTCTTGATGAGGCCGCCCATCGCGTAGATCTGTGTGGGGCCGAGTCCATGTTCTTTTCCCTTTGCTTTTGCTTCGGCGGCGTAGGCAACTGTTTGTTCGCTCATCATCGTGACGAAGGCCACTGTCAACGGCACGAGAACGGTGTCGAATATCACCCCTGACATGTCCTTGCGCTGCTGGCTGAGCCTCCGGATCTGCTTCAGCATGAGTGCGAAGAGCTTCTTCTGCTTGTTTGGGACTGACGCCGCCATCTGCTGAGAATCTTCTTTCGTGCCGCCCTCGATTCGTCCTTTCTTCCGTTGGTTGCCTTGGCCTCCGTCTGTCGCCGTGTCGGACCCCCCGCTCGGTGCCGCCAGGACGCCAGGCATGGTGAGATAGCGTCGGCAGAGGTCGTGGTAGATGCTCGTCTCGAAGATGCCGAACAAGTTTAATGCTCGACCCACATGCTACGGAGCACAGGGGGCAGGTCCATTCGTCCTTCTGTTCGGGTTCCCCAGACATATGAGCTCTTCCCATTAGGCAACGGCCATATCCATAATATGATTTGAGATGTTTGCGAGCTTTATGTACATCTTTGAATCTACTCATACAATTGGGGCACTCATTTGTTATTGCGCCACTATGTAGAATACATTGCATATTGTGCCCATTCGTCTGGTGTCCCATTCGAGCCCTGTAGGTGTCGAACTGGAGGCCACATGGGGTTCCCTCGGGGTCCGTAGTCATGCACGTGTATACGGTTTCGCTTTTGGCTTCTGGGCAATGTACTTCTGGAAATGGTGTGCACCATTTATCATAATCGGTAAAGGCTGCTGCTCTCAAAATCGAGGGGTCGATGCGGATAAACCCGTGGAGCGAATCGGAGTTGGGGTCAAATAGGGCTCTCCATGAAGACCCCTCATTTCGCCGAGCTTCGAAGCAACTCTCGGTCCCACTTGCCTCCTCGTAGAGGCACAAGTTGCGGTGAAACTCGTTTGCCCAAGGATTCGCGTCGATGCTGAGCTGTCCGTCTGGCAACAGCGTCGGTCTTTCCTTCTGTATGTGACCGAAGATCGCCGCGATAGTTTGGCTGTGGGCGTGGCGGTGGACGAGCATGCCTTGAAGCCACCGAACCCTGCGCACCGCCAATTCTCCCCGAGCAGGGAGGATGCGAAATCTGTAGAACACCTCTGAATTCCGAAGTGAGCGAACGTGGGCCCGTCGTAGGAAGTGGCAGCACCTCGCATCAGAACTCGTAGGTGTTTTACAGTGCAGGAATCAATTCTCTGATATTCATCTGGCTTAAGGACGAATGCTTCTAGACCCATGATGTCACTTTCCACAACTTTGCCAAGACAGAGTTCGCGCTTGAGGCGATGCAAACCACGTTCGTGCCAGCATAGGCCGATGACCGACCAGCCCGCATGCATCGAGCGTACTCTGCACTGTACCTCTGGAGCGGTCGAGCCGTTCATATGGTGTCGAGCTCCCAGATGCCCAGCATGTTTGCGAACCGTGCCACAGGACCCAGGGCAAATTTCCTGAAGGCGACAGTTTTCCTTTGTGGATCCCAAACATGGTATGATGTCTTTATTCTGCATGTTCTGTCGGAAACGCCATCGTCCCAGGACTACGTTCATGTTCGAGTCGTTCGCTTTCTAGGGTTGCCTCCAGAGCCCCAGGCGCCGAGGGATCTTCTACAACTCGCCGTCGAAATGAATCATCTGCAACACCTGCCATAGAGCAATACAGAGCAGTGTTTCCGACAACTCCTGAAAGGTAGATGGGGGTCCCGTCGAGCTCGCTGATTTCGCCATAACGTTTGTCAAAGACACCGACGAACTGCCGAGGTGCCTCGCATGACCCTTGGAGCCCCCCGTTCTTGCTGAGGAATGCCTCGAGCTTGTTATCTACCCCAATCATCACAACACTGTTGATCAGGCGCTGCTTCGCATAATCGCATAGGTCTTCGCGCACCATGATCGCAGACGTATGTGTTAAAAGATCGTCTGTCGACGGGCACAAGAATGCATTTGCCATGTCATGCAGCTCACATACATGGGGGATCCTAGCTTTGCGTAGTGACCACCCTAAACGTAGTTGTACTAACATTGCCCTTTCTCTCCCCCTATACTTCAGAAAACCATGCCATCTTCCCGAATACGATTTGTCATGCGCCTCCTCCTTGTCCCCCCAGCTGTATAATACTGAATACCAATATGTCCAAACACACATCTGATAATTGTACAATTCGTTGGCTGAGCAGGCTAGTCTTACTATTAGACCTATCGAGCAGGATCCCCTCCGTGATGCTGGACTCGGCGGGAAGCTGCCCCACCTCAAAGGACATAACCATAATATTCTCAAACTCCAGCCGCGCTCTGGCCAGGTTAGCAGTAGCCGCCAACATGTGCTCCCGTCCATCGGGGGCTCGTTGTTCGTCGGTTCGTGCGCATGCTGTTCGAGGAGGGACCTGGATGTCCGTCTGCATAGTGGGCGGGACTATGGGCTCGACCTGATCTCCCTTCTGCCTGAGATTGTGGTGCTCCATGTTGTCGATCTCAGCGAACAGGTCAGCATCCCCCTCGTCAGCGGTAGTCCAGCGTGATACCAGGTGATTGTGATCTGTGTCCCTGGCCCTGGGGTCGACCTCGCGAACTGTTGCCTCCACTGAGTGATGGCCCAGTCCTGGTCGCTCGTCGTCGGGATGGTCGTTATTGCTGGTCACGATGCCGTACCCCAGTCCGAATTTCGCATATGTTTGTTTCGGTAAGTGCCCAGGTTTCAATACCATTAAAGCCACCTCTGCTGGTGCGCTCCACTTGGGTCTACATCGGCGTCCACGAGCTTTGCATAGTTTCCAAACCATCTGGCGAGTCATGAAAGAGGCGGTGATCTCCATGCCTGGGCTGCGACGTCGAATGATTGCTTCTGGTGAGAAGTCTTTGAGCATAGCGTCCATGTTGGGGATATGAGTCGCTTCCATGCCTCGATCTGATCATTTTTTCCAGATGTCCCTTCGGTTCGTCCAATGATGGCCTGTACGATGAGATAGTGTTGTAGCGTCGGTTCTTCGCGCCCGTCGAGAGGCCCGATAGTAGTCTCGCAAGCTTACCCTCTCCTTCTGTCCCTGGGCTCGTGCTTGGCGTAGCTCTGGATAGAGACGCTCACGTTGTGCCGCTCGACGTCGACGTGCCCAACGTCGTAGTTGATATGAAATTCGCTTGATATTGGCCAATACTTCAAGATATTCATCGTTGTAGTCAGGGAGATGACCGTACATATTCCAATATGCGGCGGCTTCACACGCAATATCTTCCGTTGTTTCACAAGAGATAGTCTTTCTTGCTGGAGCCGATGTTCTGCTGTGTCGTCGGATTTCTGATCTAAAGAAAAGTGTCGTAGTCCAATCTGCTGTACTGTCTCCGCCCAGGTGTCATAGAAAAAATCCGTGTGCTGGTGCTGCGTGGCGCATTCATTGAAGAAATCAGTATGAGCCTCCATGGCCCGTTCGAGATCGCGGTGAAAATCTTCCCGTCCTCTCCCGGTTGGAGTGCTTGCGATAGCTTTTGGGAATCCCATCTTGCCTTTTGAGCCCTGGGGATCGGAATCGGGAGTTCGTATTTCATCTCAAGAACCATTGGGACGTGATCTCGGGGCATGCTTTTTGGGATAAAGACTGCGGCCTACTTGCCATGCAACACTGCAATGTCGTATATCTGGTCCGAGACCCTTTGGAATGGCGAAGACGTCTAGTGTCGCTTTATCTCCCTGAGCTCCAAAATATGTCGGTCCCGATTTTGGCCAGAAGGTCCCTGGTGACATTAATCCAAGGTCGAGGATAGTATTTACGAATATTTCTCCTGCTGGGCCGTTTGGTCGTAGATGATGGGGGCCTAGGAGGTCTTGGTCGGGGTCCACGAGGGTGCCGTCTTCCCAGAGCCCGAAACCTGAATTGATGTCCAGGCCACATCTCGGAGTACTTCTAGCCTTACTAATCTCCAGTCGCTGTCGTAGGTATCTCATTACTGTCGTCACCGCCTGTATCTGTGCTCGTTTCTGTTTCCCACTTGAATATGTTGGCGGGGGATATGCACATATCGCTGTGATATCTACATGTCCACTCTTTATTCTTATTTCTCCATATCGTCCTGTAATACTGTGTGGTCCACAATGTACTGAGTAGTATACATGTTCACGTCGGAGTATGCGTCCTAGTACTATGCACACCCCCGCGCTGTTGTTGCTGAAGGGAGCCCGTTTCCACCCAATGTGTATAGCCACGAATTGTGATCCAATATTTTCAGTATGATAGTCTCGATTTGGCCACTCCCTCACCCTGGTTCCTGGTAGTAAGATAAGGTCGCAATTCAAGCATTCGGCGATCTCCCGCAGTCGGCCTGCGGACACGAGGGAAAGGGGGTTGTAGAGGGCGACGCGCAGGATGCCCACCATCAGCCCCCAGCATAGGCTCGCCAAATGCATCAGCGGCCGAGCATGGCAGGTCGAAGGTGAGTGAACGCTAGGTCTGGGTGGGACCTGGGGGGTCGCTGCCTCTGGAGAATGTGGGTTTGGGAGGAGATGGCAGCTGAAGGAGGATGAGGAGGAGGAGGACAACGATGACGGCGGTCCTCGTTGCCCTCTTCCCACCCAATCGCCCTCGAAGGCCGGGTCATGGAGGTCGGGGGCTCCGTGTTCCAGGAGGAGGGCCGCCCTCCCTCCGCGGCCGCGCGGCCTATGTGAGGAGGGCTGGTGCGATCGGCATGGACACGGCTCGGGGCTCAAGAGACGGGGTCAATTCCCAGGGGGGTCAGTCAGAGCGCCGGATCTGGCAGGATCCTGCAGAGTTAGGGGTACACTGATCCGGGCTTGGGTGCGGGATCGTGGAGGACCCTGCAGGATATTGCAAGGCCCGACTGACCCGGGTTTGCATTGATCCGGGTCGGTGTGTCCCCGATTTTTTGGATGCAGCTGCGCGGCGGCCACGCAGCGTCTGCCACCCTGTCGGGTGCCCAACGCACCAGTGCTCGAACGCCTGGCACGCGCAGCCGCCTCCTAACCTGACTGTTTTGGGGCGAAAAATCGCCTCTTGGTTTGGAACAGCGCTTGCTGTTGGGCATCGTGCCATTTGATTATGTACCCGTTTTTGGATTGCCAAGAGAGGGGGTGAGGAATCGGCAGGACCGGTGATTGACACTTGCAAATATGGAAACTGGGACCGGCCTTGGCAAGCTATGAAAGATGATCGACCGAGGATCGACGATCGATGATCGAACTGGCGTGATCAATGACCGATGATTATCGATAATTGGCATGATCATTGATCGATCGACGATCAGTTCTCTACGTCGAGGAATTTCAACATGGATCACAGTGTGCGGATTATGGACGGATCCCAGTTCCATACCAAAAAGGGCGCGCTCCATCGCCAAATCAGGCGGCATGGCGCAACGGCTACGTTCCCCGATCTGTGGACCAAATCCATGGATCCCCAATCCATGTCAGCGTGTGCCTGAGTACGTTTTTGGCCTGTTTGGGGCCTCCTGAAGCGCCCTCGTCGCCACGGCTGGATTCGCCTCGAGGACGAAGTGTAGGAGGGGCAGCGGGGGGGCTAGGGGGGAGGGGAGGATCCGGGGCGTCCTGCTTCTGTTGATAGCGCGCCGCACGTTTCGCCCAGAGTCTGCTTGCCCCTGCCGGAGACAGACGTGCGTTACCAGACTGCTTGCCCAGGTAGCTGTTTGTGGGTGTGGCTCTTGTTGCCGCATGCACGTTGGACGAATCGATCTGCGTTGGCTCCGCAAGCTCGGACCGCTTCAGCTCTTCAAGAGGGTGCGGGCTGGTGGACTGGGAGCGCTTCGATGCAACTCCTGGGAGGTAAAATTCTGACTTTGCCCTGGTCCGATATCCGGCTTAAGCCGACTTGATCCCGCTCTATCCGGCCTGCTTACTCCGCGGCCTAATTTGGCGTAGCAGCCCCCAAATGGGGCTTAATCCTCTTTAACCCTTCCGACGAGGAACCCCCAGTAGTTGCTCCTGAGGAGTGGTGCGTTGGCGCGTCTGTGGCGGGTGACGCGTTATTATGGCGAGTTCTCGCTGCTTTTTGGTGTTATTGTTGGTGTAGGTGTTATTGTTGGTGCAGATGCTGCCTGCCAGTTTTCTGTCGAGGCGGGTCGACGGGGCTGTCAACTACAGGGACTCAGGAGGAACACCAGTGAAAAGCTAGTCCCTCAGAGGAGGAAGGGTACCCATACCGCTACCCTTCGTCCAATTTTCCCTCTTAGGGCATCCTGGGCCTCCGTCGTCGCCACCGCTGGGTTCGCCTCGAAGTCCTGGTCAGAACGCACCCCAGGAGAGGTCCGGGGAGTAGCGACTTCCCTCAGGATAATGATGATGATGATGATGATGATGATGATGATGACGATGACGATGACGATGACGATGACGATGACGATGATGATGATGATGATGATGATGATGATGATGATGATGATGGTAATGACTATCACGCTGATGCTGATGTTGATGCTGAATATGAATATGATGATGGTGATGATGATGGTAGTGGTGATGATGGTGGTGGTGGTGATGATGACGATGATGATGCTGATGATGATGTTGCTGATGTTGCTGATGATGCTGATGATGCTGATGATGCTGATGCTGAGTATGCTGATGTTGATGCTGATGCTGATGCTGCTGATGACGATGACGATGACGATGCCGATGACGGTGCTGCTGATGATGATGACGATGATGATGTTGATGATGCTGATGAGTGCGACGATGACGATGATGATGATGGTTATGTTGCTGATGATGATTATGATGCTGGTTATGATGAAGTTGATGGTTATGGTGATACTGACAAATATTTTGATGATGCTGATGCTGATTTAGATGGTGCTGATAGTGATGACGATGATGATGATGATGATGATGATGATGATGATGCTGCAGCTGCTGCTGATGATGATGCGGATGCTGATGTTGATGATAATGATGCTGATGATGATGCTGATGGTGCTGATGATGATGAGGATGATGATTGATGATGATGATGACGACGACCATGATGATGATGATGCTGCTGATGATGATGGTGCTGCGGATGCTGATGCTGATGCTGATGCTGATGATGCTGCTGATGATGATGCTGCTGCTGATGATGATGATGATGCTGATGCTGCTGATGATGATGATGATGTTGATGATGATGCTGATGCTGCTGATGATGATGATGATGCTGATGCTGCTGATGATGATGATGAAGATGATGATTATGATGATGATGATGATGATGATGAGTGATGATGATGATGATGATGATGATGATGATGATGATGATGATGATGATGATGATGATGATGATGATGATGATGATGATGATGATGATGATGATGAGGAGGATGAGGAGGATGAGGAGGAGGAGGAGGAGGAGGAGTAGGAGGAGGAGCAAGGAGGCGGGGGATGAGATGAGGAGGAGGAGGAGGAGGAGGAGGAGGAGGAGGAGGAGGAAGGAGGAGTCAAATCTCGATCCCGCCCACTCTTCTCCAATGACGTGGGCTCACCAGCCATCCCCCGCCGTCTCCCAGGGACAGGGGACAGGCAGTCGTGGTGTGCAAGAGCACCCCCCTGAATCGAGGGGATGTCAAAGCCGCTCGAAAGTCTTTGCCATTCCCATGTGCGGCTTCGTCCCCTATGCATCCTTGCCCCCCCCCCAGATCGAGCGTTTTGTGAAAAAGGGGGGAGGCGATGTCTGGGTAGGGGGGGGCGATCGAGGGTTGCAGGCGAGGGGGCCCTAAAGGGGGCCCTTCAGGGCCCCCCTGGGGCCCCGAAGGTGTACGAAAGGTGCAGCTGTCTTCACTCCACCCCCTCCCCTTCCCCCCAATCCTGCCCTCCCCGTCAGGAGACAGCGCCCCAAGACGCAGCCTCGACCCTCCTCCACCAAGGGCTCGGAGAAGCCCCCCCTCCCCGGCGCTGGGGCCCCCTGGCGCGTTCCGCGCGCCAGGGAGGGGGGTCCAGCGCGGATCCAAGAAGTCCGCGCGGACCTCCGAGTTGTTCTGTTTATGTCATTCTTCGTTCCCCTCACTCGGGACCCGAAGGCCCCCTGTGAGGCCCGAAAGGGCCCCCTGAGGGGCCCTCAAGGGCCCCTTATCGTCAGCCATCGCTGCCCCCCCACTGATTTCCCACAAGGTGCCCTTTCTGGGCCCTGCGGGCCCCGTCTGGGGCTCTATTAGGGCTCGCTGAGGGGGCCCCAAGGGGCTTTTTTGTCGGCAGCCCTCGCTGCCGCCCAGCTTGTGTTATTCTCTCCCATCAGTTCGCGCCCGAGCTGGTGCGGTCGTCTTCGACGGTCACCACCAGGGGACCCAGGAGCAGCCCGGGGCCCGGGGAGCGCCGGCCGCCACGTGTGCCCCCCGGAGCTGCAGGAGGGGCCGCCAGGAGCGGCGTCGACCAGAAGCACCGGTCGACTACGCTGAAGTCGGGCATGTCCTTTTACAGGAGGAATATTCAAAAATGATACATGAGATGGGGAAGATGTTTCAGCTATTTGGGATTTTTTTGTTGCTCATTTTTTCATTTGTCGTCCGAAATTCGCCTGTGGGGGACATGCCCGACCTAAAACTATGCGTGAGAGTTATCCTTCGCCAGGGTGACCTTTGCAGGGCTCGCTTCGATGCCCCCGAGTCGATTCGGCTTCGATTTCGGTGGCTCCCGATTCCGACTCGATTCGGCTTCGGATTCCGATTTGGGCTCCGATTTCTCAATGGAGGCCTGCGGGCCTGCTGGTTTCCGCCGAGTCGACTTCGCGGCTGCCGATTTCCGCCGATCCGATTGGTTTCGATCGCCGTTCCGAGTTATCGTTTCGATTCTGGGCTCTCCTGCCTTTGGTGTGGGCTCATCGGGGTCCCTCCGATCGCCGAGCGCGATTCGATAGCAGCTGATTGCGCGCTTGGATTTGACCTCTTGCGCCCCCTTGGCCGCGCACCACATGTCACTGTTGCCTAGGGTCACTCTGCTTGTAGTCGAACTGGGATTGGCGGTACGAAGGAGGCTGGAGCGGGCGTGGTCGGGTTCAGGGGAGCCAAGCGCGCCGTCTTTCGTCTCCCCTGCGGGGGACCCCTCTGCGGGAACATCGTCGTCGCTCTGCAGGGGCGCGTACCGCATGTCATCCAGCAGGCAGCAGACGACTGTTGCCGCGGCGTCTGCCCGCGTTCCGAAGCCGCCGCAAGCCCCCGCCGTCTGTAGGGAGCACCCGTGGGTAACCGTTGGGTCCCTTGCGCACCGCCTCCAGGATGGGCTCGAGACAGGCAACGCAATGAGTGCCAATCCGCTCTCGCTGATGGGCGAGAGGCTGGGGGCAGCTGTCGCCGCCAAAGGCCGGTCGCATCGCACACGTTGTGCTTTCCCAACCCGCGTATTCGCAATTCGGCGGCGAGCGAGGGAGAAGCGATAAAAGGAGAAGGCCTTCTCAGAAGGCGGCGGGGCTTCTCAGACGAGAGTTTTTCCGTGTCCTCGGGGGAGGCTCGTAAATCTTTCTGAACGCCCCAGGACTTCCGAGCCTCCTGAGAAGACATGCCCCTTCTCTTTGGTGTCCCGAAGCGGTGCGGTGGCACACCGTGCGGTGACCTCGAAACCCCGAGAGATCTCACAGCACTCTCCGTCACCCCACGGTTTGGGAACCTCGGGGTCCCTAATCGCCCGAAGCATCCTCGGAGAACGGCCCGTCTTCCAGAACTGCGTGGTCGCCCCGAATCCCCACTGACTTACCACACCGTGCGGTCGCCGCACCGCGTGGGGGCCACCGATTCTCACTCCCCCCCCCCCGTGGTGCGCCGCCGAGCAGTAGTCGGGCCTCGGGCGGCTGCGCTCGCACGGGCAGGGCCCCGGGGTCCCGGGGCGAGCGAATGGCGACGCAGAGCGGAGCGGGCGGCAGGGACAAACGCGGCGCCTCCCCGCGGCGCGGCCGCAGCGCTGCCGCGGAGTGTCGGGGCCGCGGGGATCAGTCAGAGTGCTGGATCTTGCAGGATCCTGCAGGGCCAGGCGTGCACCGACCGGGGTTTGGGCGCAGGATCTTGCAGGATCCCGCAAGGCCTGACCGACCCGGGTTCGCATTGACTCGGGTCAGTGCGTCCCCGAGGGTGCACTTCCCAGGACTGCGTCGTGCCGCCAAAGGTGCCTCGTTGTCTTTCCCCTCCCCCTCCCCCCCATGGAGTGGACCTTGGCTGTTTTTGGCGCCCGGTTCAGGCGGGCCGAGTCTCCCCCTATGGGACGCACTGCTGCAAGCAGTGGCATCCCTCCTCCGGCTGCAGCTCCTCGCGCTCCCCCTCCCCCAGATCGACCCCCCGGAGAGACGGCAGACGGGCGGCCTCGGAGAGGCGCCCGAGAGATGCTCGCCATGGAGGCCGCCCGTGCGAGCAGTCCCGCATGCCGCGTGCACGTTGCTCTGCACGCCTGACCTTCGGGGGCGGCAGAGAGGGGGGGGGCTGACGAGCCTCCCCAGATTTCATGGCGCCACGTCTCAGTTCAATGCGTCCCTGGCTCCCCTTGGGCTGCGCACATGCCGCCGCGCCACCCCTCTTGGCCGCCCCCGGTTGCACGCTTGATCGCGCCGCGAGCGGCCGCATCCACCTCAGAGGGAGAGGTACCCGTACCGCCACTCTTCGGCCATTCTGACTTTCTTGGGCCTCCCAGGCGGCCTTCGTCGCCATCGCTGGATTCGCCTCGAAATCCTGGTCAGAACGCACCCCGGGAGAGGTCTGGGGGGCAGCGGTCTCGGTACTTGTTGTTTTCCCCACCACCGGTCCCGAGGGCATGGGCGCAGCAGTGGCCTCCAGAGGGCGGCCCGAGGCCAGGGCATCTCCAGTGTGGCCAGTGGCCACTGCTTTCTTTTGCGTCGGCGGCTAGGCAGAGCAGCTGCGCTGGCGGAGGGCTACCTAAACGGGGGTGCCGTTGTAGCTGATTGTGACGCCATGCAGGAGGAGGGGACAAAGCAGAGGGAACGGCCGAAGGAGGGGGCGGGAGTGGATTGAGGCCGCTCCGGGGGACGGGTCACGCCCCGAGCGCGTGGCGCGGGCCAGTGGCAAACACAGACGGGTTGGGCGGCATGCCAGCCACGTCTTTCGCAAGGCCATCAGGATTAAGGGCCGGGGGAGGGATGTGGGAAGCGGACAATCGGGAAAACGTAAGACTCGAGTTGGCTGGAACTCGGGTATCCCGACGCTTTTTGACGAGCGCGTCCTGGATTTTGACGGTCCAGTTTTCGCAGGATGTTCGCAGCGGGAGTTCGCGTCAAACGTCAGATTGGGTCTCGTCATTTTCGTGATGGCTCCGTTAGGCTAACCCGAGTCCCCCTCACCCGAGTCTTACGTCTCCCTGAGAAAGTGGGTTGGAGAGCCAGCGGCTCTCCTATGTCAGCGTTGTTTGACCTATCACGCGCCAGGGTGAGTCGCTGTGACGTCAGTCGAGCTACCAGGGCGGCGAACAGCCGAAACATCGGGAGTGCGCATGTGCATGCCATCAACGCCAGGGTGGCAAAAGGCCTAAACGTTGATTGCCGAGTGCATGCCAACATACCCATAGCGGCACAAGTCCGAGTCAGCCCTTCCGAGAGCACGCCTGGACCAGGATTGTAAGGCGAGCTCAGCCGCGGCGACAGGGAAAGCGCCTTCCCCATCCAGGACCATCCAGGATCCCATCCTCCAGCCCGTCCTCGGCCAGAACCGTGCCGCAGAGAGAGGAGCGCCAGGGGCGTCTTGTTGCGATCGTCATAGAGTTGTGTTTTGTTTCGCTGACGCAATTTGTTCGCAACGCCGGCTCTCGGCGAAAGACCTTCCTTCGGCTCAGGAGGGTCTCTGACTTTCGGGCCGCTCCTCAGATCCTCGGCTTGGGTGGGGCATGTCCCCCTACAGGCGGATGTTGGACGAAAAATCTGAGATACCCGAAACATATTCAACGGTAGTCAAAAATAGTAAACAAGCATCGTCCCCAGACTAATTGTGCTGTTTTCGATTATTCCCCCTGTATAGGGGCACGCCCGACTTACTCCTGGGCCGGGGGAGCATGCCGAGGCGCCGGGGCCAGAGGCAGCCGTCCGCCCCCTGGATCATGCGGCGCTCTTGCCGGCAGCACGCTGCCTGCGGCTTCATGACCGCAGCCCCTGCCCCCGGGAGAGATCCTGCCTGCCCCTCGGGGGGCCCACCGTCCGCGCGGGCACCGCGCGCGCGGCTGCTCGGGCCGAGGCCGCCCCCCGGACCGCAGGGCAGACCGGCCAACCGCGAGCGCGGCTCCGCGCCGTCCGAGCTGATGCGCCCCCGCCCGCCGCGGGTGGCGACGGAGAGAGACGGGCTCGGGCCGGGCGGCCGTGCTGCCCCTTTGCTGGGCATCGCTCGGACGTGTGCACTCTTCTCCTCCCTGGGCGAGGGCCCTCGAGAAGAAGCTGGGATCATCCCGGCGAAAGGTACACGCACGAGGTCGAACACGTTGAGTTGGGAATGGGCGTCCGAGCGATGGCGAGTGTGCTGGTCGCGGGCGGACGGCAGCGACGTGGGGGGGCAGCAGCCGTGGGGGGATCGAAGACTGCAAGAGAGGGGTCCCGAGTGGGCCCGGGCGGCCCCCGAGCTGCCACCGCGGGCCCCGGAGGTGTTTTTTCGAAGGGTGCACATATGCTCACCCCGCTCTGAGATCCCAGACACGCTCGCGTCGTAAGTCATCAGGACGAGGGTTTTTTTCTGGAATTCGGCCTCTGGGGGCCCTCGCCGGGCCCCGGGACCGTCCCAAAAACGACTCAGGATGAGAAGCCCGTCTCAGGGAAACGGTCGGGACTTTGAGGGCCGCGTGCTGAAGTCAGGACGTCGCATGTCTGGGATCCTGGCGTTCTCATTTTTGTTCGAGCCGTGCGTTCTCGCCCAGATTTGGGCCCCGGGCCCTTACACATCGATCCGTCTCGAAAAATGGCGCAGAAAGATGGGGTCTAGGGCGCCAGCCGTGATTTTTCGCGATGTTTCAATTTTGTTCGAGGCCTCGGTTCTCAGGGCACGTTTAATGCCCCCCAGTCAGCGAACTCCCGATGATCAGTGCCGCCGAGGTGGGTGCCCGGCAGTCGGGGCCGCCTACGATCCGATTCGATGCGATTCGATCCGCTGGCTGTAACCGCGACGTCGATTCGATTCGGGTCGGTTCATTGGCATCGGCCGGGGCAGGGCGGAGCTGGGCGCGGCGATCCGATTTTGATTCGGTGCGGGACGATTCGTTGGCGATCCAATCCGTCTCCGATCCGATCCGATATCGCGATTCGCCTCGGCAGCGTGCAGGAGATCGGCAGGGAAACGCTGGCAGTCCAGCCCTCCCAAGTGGGGTCCGCGTAGATGGGGTCGGAGGATCGCGCCGCATCGCCGATGCATCGGCGATGCGACACGATGTGCGATGTGGAGGCCGACGTCGCCGATATGTCGCCGACGTCGCCGATGCATCGGCGATGCGGCGCGATCCTCCGACCCCATCTGCGCGGACCCCATGTGGGAGGCCTCTAGTGAATGCGCCGCAGGGAGGGCGCCACCCTCCTTTCCTTTGCGCTGATGCGAGTCTGGGTCAGCCGAGTCTGGGTCAGCCGAGTACCCGTCAGGATGGTGTTGGCCCTGGAGCCCGCTTGGGGGCCGAGTCGGCGAGTTATCTGTCCCAGCCTGCAGAGGGGGAGAGCCATTCTTGTGTGCAGATGTCGTCGTCACTCCATCGTGGGGCGCCTTCTCTAGGCGGGTGTGGTATGCCCGTGTGCCCATTTTGCCCCCGTCCAGCGTCGTGGTCGACTCCTCCAGTGTCCTATCCAACGCAGGCCCCCCAGCGGCCTCGAAGCTGCCGCCCCCCCCCCCTTGACCTTCATTTCGCGAGGACGGAGCGGACGAGGATCGAGGTCGTAGGTTTGTGCTTCTGCCTGAGACCCTCGGAGGCTTTGAAGTACTCCGAAGGCCTCTGGCCCTCCAGAGGCCTCCGCGGGGGGGGGGGACCTTCGGGGAAGCCTCTGAGGAGCTCCAGAGAGCTCGGGAGACTTCCGCGTGCGTGCATGTCGATTCAAGGCATTCCTCGCATCACATTTCGCGCGTCATGGCAGCGTCGCCGTTCAGCATCTGTCAGCTTGGTCGCAGCTTCTGGAGGAACATGTAAGTTAATGTTTCAGACGTTGTTGGGTTCAAACCTGTTGTCTCAGTTATCTGGGAACCACCACAGAGAAGGGCAAATATGGTAGTACATCCGTTGCGTTGTACCTCGCTTTATCGGGCCATGGTTTAGCAATGTATCCCAGGGCTAAAGGGCAAACAACGCCTGTCGTCTCGTGGCAACGTGCCGCTGCTTTACGTATCATACGCAGCATATTTCAAGTCGTACGTCCTCTTTCAGAGGGGGCGGGGGAGGCGACGAGTGGGGAGGAGACAGAAGGAGGAGGATCGGGAGAAGGTGAGGAGGATGTTTGAGGAGAAGGGGGAGGAGGAGGGCAGGAAAGCAAGAGAACAACTCACGTGGAAGCAGTTCTCATCCCGGTCAGTCCTCCGTCAGCGCCGACCCCGACGTGCCGCAAGGGCGTGGAGGAGTCATGGAGTCATGGATCCAGGAAGTGCGCGGCGCACACCGCACGCATGCGGGCCGCGACGGCAGGCAACCGGCCCCCCCAGCTTTCCCCTTATCGGAGAAGGCGGGCCCGAAGGCGCGTGCACCGACGAACAGGAGAAAAGCCACTACCTCGTCGCCCAGGGACTTGCCTCCAGCCGAGGGAGCGCGGTGTGTAGGGGAACGGTCGGTTTACTTCGTCACTGCGAGGTACTCCCCGACTGCCCGTTCAGCTGGCATGCGCAACTGGGTCTGTTCCTCAGGGTGGGCGGGCACAGGGCCACCATGGGACTTCCAGCCACATGGCCCCGCCTCTGAACCAAATGCGCAATCCCTGTGCCTGGTACCCACCTCAAGGTCACCGAGCGTGGCCAGCGCCGCTGCCACGGGCAAAGTGCTACGCAGCTGGTTCCGGAAGACGCGAGACGGTGTTCAGTTGCCCCCAGTCGCCGCACGCAGTCGACTCTGACGGTGGGGCCCACGGGAGTGTGTGGCTGTGACACCAGGAGAGCAGGAGCCAGTCCCCCGCCCTCGGGGCCGAGGGTGTGGAGGGGGGGGTGGAGGGGCCCACGGCTCTGACGAGGAAGTTGCCGGGAGGGGACCTACGCCCGCTCGTGAGCCGACGCGCTCGGTGCTGAGCCCCAAGACGCAAGAGGGTTCCACGAGGGCTTAAGACGGTCCGGGAGGGCCCCGAGTCGCCGAGCGATCGGTTCACGACGCTCAACATGGCCTCCAGACGGGACAAGAGGCCTCGCAAACGCCCCAAGGGGCATCCAAGAACGCTCCCAACGCAGCTCCAAGAAACAAGAAACGCTTCATTCCCATAGCATACGCGTTTAGTATATGAGTGAGACTCTTCGGCTTCACGGCGTCCAAGACGTCCCAGGAGGCCTCCCCGACACGATCCGAGGGAGACCCAGGGCAGCCCACGAAACGCAAGAGCGCCATCAGATGGCCTTCGAAGGGCACCCAGAAGGGGTCCAATGAGGGAGACTCGAATTGAGATTTCGAGCCCTCCGCCCGAAGGGGGCCCCCGAGACCGCCAGCAGGCCCCCAGGATACCTCAAGATGCCCCCAAGAGGCCCCCAAAAGGCTTCCGAAAGGCCCCTAAACGGCTCTGAACTGACCCTGAATTCACAACAAACGACCGCGCCCCATAGCCGTCATAGTTGTCCGTTTACATGTTTCTTGGCACAGTGCTTGTACATCCAGCGTCTGGTGGCGGCTTGGCCTTCAGCCTCGTCCCTGGCCTGTGTTCCGACACCACGTAACAACATTTGTTGTTGGGCATTGTGCCCATGTAGATTTCTTGACAGTCCCAGGACACCGGTGCGGCCGTCACAACCCGATCGTATACCGAACCGTACACCCAATTAGTAAGGCGACTTCCATATAGCCAATGCACACATGTGTATAATATATGTGTGTGTATTCACACATTTTTCCTATATTTACACATACATCTATTCATACATACAGGTAGACAGATAGACAGTCACATACCGACAGATAGACAGACAGACAGACAATCATACGGACGGGCGGACGGACGGACTGACCGACAGACAAACAGGCAGGCATACAGACTGACAAACAGACGGACACACAAACATACATGCATAAACACATACACACATTAATACATATACACACATTCTTGTACGGCCCTGACTGGCACCCAGGCGTCGTGGCCGATGGCTGTTTGTAGTCGGGCCTCGGCCTCGGCTGTGAGGGGCACAGGAGGGGGGAGGAGCGCATGGGAGGAGGAGAAGGAAGAGGAGGAGGAGGCGCAGGAGGACGAGGAGGAGGAGGACGAGGAGGAGGAGGAGGAGGAGGAGGAGCAGCAGCGGGGCGCCCTGTCAACACTGGGGGGGGGGCCTCCTTCCTCTTCTGCGGGGCCTGTGGGCGCCGGCGAAGGTTCCTGCACGCCACCTCGGCCAGCAGACCGCCCGCGCCTGCGCCTCCAGTCCGAGGAGGAGGAGGAACCGAGGATCAGAGGAGGAGGATGAGGAGCAGGAGGAGGAGTAGGAGGAGGAGGAGGAGGAGGAGGAAGAGGAACCCCAAAAGAGGTTGAGTTGGATGAAGAGCAGGAAAAGGGAGGTTGTCGGGCAATTCTGGCGCCTCCAATCTGCCCATCTTCCATGGAGGAAGAAGCGCAAACAGGAACGCCCCAGAGGAGGCTGAGGCGGAACCGAGGATCGATGGTGGAGGTTCTTGGGCGGGCTGGCCCTTCTGGGGGCCTCCTCGGGGTCCTCCGGGGCCACGGGGTGACCTGAAGGACCTCCAATCCGCCCGGCTTCCACGTTGGGGGAGCAGGAGGAACCGTGCCAGTGGAGGATCGATGTTTTTGGGCGCCTTTCCGCCCCGTTTGGGGCCTCCTGGTCCCTAGAGGGCCTGGGGCCCCTCGGTGACCTCCGGAACTGATTTGTTGTTCGATCGCTAGATCTGCTCGACTCGGTTGATCATCCGCTGCTCCACATAGCGGGTGCCTCGCGCTGTGTATTTTTTTCTTGTGCGCAGAATTCGGAGGGCCGTCGAATCTCGCGTAGCCTCGCTGTGGACTCTTCCATCCTCCCCCCTTCGATCCTAAGTTGCCCTTGTCTGTATCCTCCCACGGCACCGTCTTCTCGCAAGTCCTGTCCTCTCGTCCCTGCACCCCTGGGCCCGTTGGGCTCCCCCTCCTCGGATCAGGTCGAGACATCCGAGCCAGGTGATAGGCACGACACTCCAAACTCGTAATGAGTGCCCAGGCTGACCTGCCGCTCCCAGCCAGGCTCTGCCGAGCCGGTTTTTCGGGGGTGGACAGACCTTCTGCCCTGACAAGTCGATAAGCGAATTGGCCGTTTTCGGTTCGCGAGAGGGCGTCGCGGCCGTCATTTTTGCGGGTCCAGGTCCGCCGGTTTCGGTCCCAGGCCGTTTTCATTAAGGGGAGGTGTACTAAAGGGAGGTTTGTCCACCACCGAGTCTTCTTCTGTGAGCAAGCGCTCGCAGCATGATGAGGAGGGATTGCTCCTTTTGGCAGATGTTCAGCCTGACAGGGCCAGCGTAAACGAGGTCGGGGGATCGCGCCGCATCGCCGATGCATGCAGGATGATGGATGAGAATTGTTCAAGGAGGTGTCCAGCGAGAGCGAGAGCCTCCCATCCGTTGCCACGCAGGTTTGCTTACATGTCTGGCGGTGAGATTGAGTTTTGAAAGACCTTGCTTTTTCGGTGTGATTCTTGGGTAGCTTCTAGATTTTGGACGGGGCTAGGGCGAGGATACATTCGTTCCAGAGCGTTATGAAACGCTCTCAGAGCGTTCCAGAACGCTCTGAGGAGGCCGCGGCGCCTCAGACACCCTCCACAGCCGCCAGATCTCGGAGATCCTCGACTTATCCTCACCCTAATTCATCGTTGTCCTGGCTTCGTCTTCAGAGTCTGGTCTGGCTGTCAAATCAGAAGGAAGATCACGCGAGAGCCCTGCATTGAAACAGGGAGCTGCCCGCCTTCATGTGACAGTCGGAAGCCGTCCAGACGAGTGTGCGCGGCGCCGACACGAGAGCAAAACTTTGAGAACCATCCGCCCTTCATTAGTGTAAGAAAGTGTCGGTCCACGGGCAGAGCGGGGTAGGGGGAGGGGGGAAGGCTTCTTAGAAGGACGCTGCTTCTTTGAAGGCGCGTGCCTTGTCTATAGATATAGGGCTGGCGCCTTCTAAGAATCAGCCTCCTTCTAAGAAGCCTTCCCTTCTCCCCCTTACCCCCCTCTGCGCGCCGCCAACATCTGAGGTGAAACGTCTGGCACGCCCGGCAGACGCGTTTTGTATTTCCGAGGGTATTCATGAAGGAGAGGGGTGGTGGGAGAGGATTGCGACCTATCACTCCCGGCGCAAGGCCGGTTACATCAGCGCCGCTTGCGTTTTGTTCGACCGCGAGTTATTTCTTTCACAAGGCCAGCCAGTGTGCTTGGACGCGAACCCCGCTTTGTTCTTTTCGTCCCAATCCTGTCTTCCTTGTCCCCGTCCGCCTGCTTCTGCTCCCTACTCCCTCGACGCTCCCCTTTTCTATTATTTTAGACCTGTTTCCAAATACATTGTGGTCGCTGTCTGGCACCCCCTCTTGCAACCATTCGCATCAGTGTCACGTCACCGCTTAGATTCATTCACAGACCGCAGGCGCACCCATGACCACGTGCAGGCATCTCTTTGCCGAGTCCACGAGACGTACTTGCATATGTTTCCCAACCATCCTGTGTTGGGTCCTCGCTTCGAAGAGACAGCGCCCTGCCTTCCTCTCCTCTCCTCTCCTCCCCGCGGCTATATGCGTGTTCGGCGGTGGAGGAGGAGCGGAGGGAGCTGATTCCTCGCAGTACTCTGGAGCAGGTTTTGAGTCAGTTCGAAGCGGTTTCGGAGAGAGAACGGTTCCACCTCACCTCTGGTTTGTTTGGACACCCCCAGAGTGTGCTCCCGCCCCCTAAGTCCGACAGTAGATCCGAGGAGGATGATGGTATCCAGTTTCAGTTTTTTCCTGAAGGCTTCGCGGCCGAAGGCATGGAAATGCCCCGCGACGGCCGCCGCCAGATGTGGGGCCACGTTTTCCTTGATGGCTCGTGTTCTCGACGGGTGGTCCGCAGCTCGAATAGAGCTGGTTGGGGTTTAGCGATGGTAGGCCCCCGTGCAAATCTTCGAGCTTGGAGCTGGGGCCCCGTGTGGGACAGTTGCCCCCAGACTCCCCAGGCAGGTGAATTTTCGGCTTATGCCATGGCGTGCGCTTTCTTGTCTGCACCTGCTATTCTGTATTCAGATTGCCAGAATGTTGTCTCCATGCACGGCATGGCCCGACACCAATAGATCTCACCCAAGCGTCCTTATGCGGGGCTCGTCGCTCAGGGTCGTTCTCTTGGAGGAAAAAGGACGCTTGGGTGTGAGAAAGTGCCTGCGCATCTTCCCATCGACGATCCAGAGATCGACGATGACGAGCGCTTTCGAAGGATAGGAACTGATTTCGCCGATAAGGCCGCCAAGCTGGGAGCTGAGTCCCACCAGGCGCCGTCGGAGGATATAGCAAACGCATGCACTACTCTTGTGAATTCGGCGCTCATGGCGGTCAGACTGTGTGCTGCTCTTCTGCCGCTATGGCCGCGCACGGACCTCTCCCGTGCCTCGTGGTCTGCCCCCGCTCAGGCCCCCCGCTCCTCAACCCCGCCTCATCGGTGGGAGTGGCTCGGGCCTCCTGGAGGGGACCAACGTTTTTGGATTTGTCAAGGGTGCCTCAGGACGTCGCGCAACGCCGCCGACAAGGAGCTGCCCCTGGACATTGTTCTGATTCTATGAGAGTGGATGTTCGGCGGCTTAGAGATTTAAACCACAAGTGTATCCTCCTGGATTGTTCGAACGGTTCGTTTGTTGTCGTTTGTACGCTTTGCCAGAGATACACTAGTGGTGCCCGTCTTGCATCACTCAATAAGATTTGTCCAGGTCAGAAGGTCTCGGTTTACAACTCTGACGCCTGGAACAAGATCTGTAAGGGACTCCATCCCAAAGCGAAAGGGGTCACCTTACTCTCTGACACCTTCAGTGTGCTTTAAGCATGCAGCGAGAGCCACAGTGCTCAAACAAAAATCCTCCTCCTCCTCCTCTTTGCTGCATGGGTTGTGTTCCTTCGGCAAGATGTGGGTCAAGACAGCCCAGAGACAGGCACGGGACGTTCCGCATTACGACTACGGGTATTTGCCGCGACGGGCACGTACGGGAGCGGTTCGAACGATTGTTGTTTTGACTTGGAGGGCCCAGCGAGGCCGGCTTTCGACGCTAGACACCAAACATGATATGCGAAATGTTTTCGGATCGGTGCAACACGATTCGCTAGATGCTGTTGTCGCTCGTCTTTATGACCCTGCTGATGCTGATATACTTGTCCAGCGTCATAGATCAGCATACTTTCGCGTCTGCGCGGACGTCCAAGTTTTCCCAGAACTCGGAGGGGAACCGTATGGGGGATGCGAATGCGGCTACGGTGTTTCAGGATGCTTCTGCGCCAGCTATCAGGGCTTGGCAACAGGCCCACCAGGTGATTTATCCCAATCAGTTGATGGGCACATGTAGTATTACTGGTGCTCGCTGCGATTTATCTCTGAGAGTTTTTGCGGACGATGTCAATAAGACACATGTGGTACAGGATCTGACGAGCTCACGGCGTGTTATTTCTTCTTCTGACAGATTCCTCAATGAGAAGTTGAGGCCGCACGGCATCTCTCAGAGTGACGGGAACAAAAACAAGTTCTTCCTCACTATGTCGGCCACGGTGCCAACAGGTTCTCTAGGGCTGTATTCCAAGGCAGTAGCGAACTTCCTGGGCTCGTGCTTCCTGTCATCCCCTTCTTGGGCACGCTTTTTACTCCCACGGGCTCCTGGGCCCCATAAGTTGCTGCACGTTGTGCGGCCGTCGTTCGAGGATGGGTTCATATGCGGCGAGTTTGGTCTCAATGTTCTTCCTGGAGGTCCAAGAAGATGGCGTTCAGGAGCGACGTGATTGGGGCTGCTGTCTCTGGGTTGGCTGCAGCTGTACTTACAGGGTCTCAAGAGGCTGTTCGTATCGAATCCTGGGGTTTTGAAGTCTCGTAGGGATGCGGCGGGCTGGAGGCCCGAAATTCGCGGCCGACAGGTCGGTCCTAGGGCGCCATCGCGGTGTGTGAAGTCACTATATGACCCCACAGGTGTCTGTTTGTCCTCCTCCTCCATTCCTTTTCCTTGTGAATGCTTTCTCCCCGTCGCACCCCGAGGCCAGTTTCTCGGGCGGGTCGAGCGGTTCGCTTGCGACGTCTTCACCCAACATGACCCTGAAACTTCAACGTTCGCAACGCGTTCACAGATGGAGGGCAGGTGGTTTTAAAATGTGGCTCCCGCTTTACGCCGCGCGCATTCCTTTATAGAGATATGCAGGAGATTCACGGATTGAGGGCGGGTGGTTTTCAGAATGTGGTTCTCGTTTTTCTAGCGCCGCGCACATGCGTTTCAAGCATATGCAAGAGCTTCACAGATCGAGAGCGACCCGTTTTCATCATGTGGTTGTCGCGTTAGCGCCGCGCACATTCGTTTTAAACAGTTGCAAGGGTTTAACGTTTATGGCGGCTCGGTTTCAAACAATGGTTTCCCCCTTAGCGCCGCGCACATCCGCTTATAAATGTGGCAAGGGTTTCACAGGTTCCCATGATCAAAGTGGCAGACGTGGTGTTTTGGACTGACTCGAGGTTTTTGCGGTTGCAACAGTTACGTTGGCTCGCGGCGTTGCAGTACCAGGAATGGCGTTCTGGCGCGATTCAGGGTCGCCAACACGCAGCAGTCAGGTTGACCCATGGCGTTGGAATCCCGAGAACATTGTTTTCGCGTGTTTCAGGATTTTCAAACGGTTGTCTTCTAACGGGGCAGTTCCCTCAATGGAAATGAACCGTTGTATGGGCCTATGAAGAAGGAGCTTCAAGGGATGGTTCATTCCAACACCGTTGGTGACTCTTGGGTTTGCACTGGTTCTCTTGCTCCTCCTCCTCCACGCAAGGCGTTGGGCGCGTCGTCGCCAGGTTCGATGGAGGAAATGCTACGAACCTCGGTAAACACTAAACATTACGAGTGGCGGCAGGACGTGCGCCTCGAAGTGTTGTCAAATCGGGGGACCCCGCCGCCCCGCGGCTTGGCAGCACACAGTGCGTGCTTGGCCGTTGGGCCCATGCTCCTATGGTAGCCGAGACGCTAACTGGCGGGTGCGTCGCGCACTCTTTGCGTCGGTGCGCGCGACTCTGGGGCCCAGTTTCCACGCCCGTCGGGCCCGTGGGCCCCCCTCGAACTACATGATGTCAACCAGTCGCCCGGCGGGCGCACCCTATCGAGTTTCACTTACCAAGAGGTTTACATCGGAATCCTAGGGTTTGAACATCATATTTCCTCCTCCTCCCTCCCTCCTCCCATCCTTGCTTCTGCCATCCGCATGTCTGTGTTTCCCCCCCCGCGCGCGCGCGCCGTGGCCCCACGGGGCTCCGCCGAAGGCTTCAAGGGGGCGCCGCCCGCATGCATGCGACCCACTCATTTTGGCGCGCCTTTCACGAGGACCGTTGCCCCAAAGGGGGCCCCACCGAAGATCCCAGGGGCGCTGCCCGCGCGCATCCGACCCGCCTGCTTCGGCACACCCCGCACGAAGATCGTAGCCCCATCGAGAGCTACACCCAAAGTCCCGGGGGCGCCGCCCGCACGCGACCGACCCACTGATTTCGGCAGACCCCTCACGCGGACCGTGGCCCAGCAGGGGGGTTCCACCGAAAGGTCCCAGGGGCGCCGCCCGCACGCGTCCGACCCATCCATTTCGGCACGCCCCTAATCAGGATCGTGGCCCGATAAGGGGGCTCCAGCGAATGTCCCACGGGCGCCTCCCACATGCGACCGACCCATTCATGTCGGCACGCGCCTCATCATGATCGTGGCCACATGGGGGGCCCCACCAAATGTCCCAGGGGCGCCGTCCGCATGCGTCCGACTCACCTGTTCTGGCAGACCCCTCACGCGGATCGTGGCCCCATCTGCAGCTCCACCGAAGGTCACAGGGACGCCGCCCGCACGCGTCCGACCCACCCGTTTCGGCACACCGTTTTACGATGATCTTGGATCCATAGGGAGCTCCACCCAAGGTCCCAGGGGCGCCACCCACGTGCGTCCGACCCACCATTGCAGCACACCCCTCACGAGGATCGCCGCACCATGTGGAACTCCACCGAAGGTCACAGGGGCGCCGCCCGTATGCGCCCGACCCACGCATTTCGGCACACTCCTCACGAGGATCGTGGCCCCACAGGGAACTCCTCCGAATTTCCAGGGGCGCCGTCTTCGCGCGCGCCTCCCCCGCCCATGTCGGCACGCCCATCACATTTGCTGTGGCCCCATACAGAGCTCCACCGAAGGTCACAGC